CATCTACTAACAAATTATTATAATCAATAAAATATAATGGGAATGCTGAGTGTAAACTCTATACACAAACCTCAACTGTATTTCCATATATTAGCAACAATTAGGAAATCAAATTTTTAAAGAAATTCAGTTAGCAAAGGCATCAAGAATATCAAATACTCAGCAGTAAATATAACAAGAGATTTGTAAGACATCCACACTAAAAATTAAAAAATACAATAGACAAAAAAATGTTGGAAGACTTAAGCAAATGGAGTCCATTTCTCCCAAATTAAGTTAAGCTTTTAAAGACCTGACCAAAAGTTCTGACAAGATTCCACCTAAAATGGATAATCTGACTGTAAAATTCAAATAGAAGATCAAGATTATAGCCAGGTGTGGTGGTGCACGCGTTCCATCTCAGCAGGATGTGATGGCACATGCCTTTAACCTAAGTACTCAGGAGGCAGAGCCAGGCAAATCTCTGTGAGTTTAAGGCCAACCTGGTCTACATATCAAGATCCAGACCACCCAGGGTTTCCTAGTACGAACCTATCTCAAAAAAATTCAAGATTACACACAATAATATTGAACAACAAAACTACAAAATTTACACTACAGTATCAAGGCCTATTATAAAGCCAGGGTAGTGAAGAAAATGCAGTATTGGTACAAACAAAGACAAGCAGTCAACCAGAACACAGTCATCTGATTTACAATGACAACAGACATCACCATGAGAAATGGGTGGCCTTTTTAATAAATTGTGTGAGTCAATTGGATTCATATGTGGAAAAGAATATACCTTAACCTCCATTTCATGTCCTATGTTAAAAGGCAATTTTAGATGGGCTACAGGTACAATGAGAAGTATAAAGAAAACACTACAACTTTTTTATTTTTGATATTGGAATAACCAAGATTCCTTACATAGGGCATATAAAATATTGTCTGTAAACAAAAAGAAATAACACATTGACTCTAGGAAAATTAGAACTTCAAGACTATGAAAGAAAACACCATGAAGAAGATAAAAAGACAAGTGGAGCTCAAGAGGAATCAAATACAACATATTTCTGGCAACAGTCTCATATCCAGACTATTAAAAGAATTCCTATAAATCAATAAGCAAAAGAGACAAGTCAGCAGAAAAATGGCAAAATCCTTATGTATACACTTCACAAATGAAGACAACCACATGGCCAAGAGAGCCAGCTCCATTAGTCATCAGAGAAGTTCACCTTAAGACCACAATGTGCTGCTTTTCCATACATCCCAAAATTACTTTACATTTTTTAATTGGAAGAATAATAATAGCAAATGACTCTCATAAGCTGTTGGTGACAGAATGAATTAAACAACCACCTGGAGAACTGTAAATATGTGTCTGTGCATGGCAGTATGACTTAGCAATTCCTCTTCTAAGAATACATCCAACATAAATGCATATGTATACTCGTCATAAGATGCATATTATAAAGGTGCACAGCAATGTTATTTTGTAATAGCCAGAACTTAGAAATCCAAATGTTTAACAATTTATGAAAGCATAAATAAATTGTTATATAGCCACATAATAAAATGGAGTGGATGTCTGAGTCACACAATAGCATAGCTGAATTTCAAAAGTATTTTGAACTAGGAATCCAAACACATACAAAAAATATATACATGTAATTTCATGTATAAAAACAAGTAATAAACTGTGTAAGACTCATAAACGCAATATACAACCAAAGAAACTAGACACAACAGAGTTCATATAAATTATTGTATTTTATTATCTGTGTGTGTGTGTGTGTGTGCGCGCACGCGCCCCACAGAACAGTTCTCTCCTTCCAACATGTGAGTTCCAGGGATCGAACTCAGGTCATCAGACTTGACAGTAAGAGCCTTTACCCACTGAGCTATTTGAACCAGTCCTATCTCTGAGAAATACTCTTTTCCATTTTTTTTAAGATTTATTTTCTTTTTAATCATATGTGTGTGTGTGTGTCTGTGTCTGTGTCTGTGTCTGTGTGAGGATGTGTGCATGTGCCCACAGAGGCCACAAGCATAGGATCTGGACCACCCCACCCCCAGCTGGGGTTGCAGGCAGTTGTGAGTCACTCAAGGTCCTCTGTAAGAGCAGCACCCATTGCTAACTGTTGAGCCATGTCTCCAGTCTCTCCATTCCTTTTTTTTTTTTGATGGTGGTGGTGGTGATGAAGATTGAGTCCAGAGCCTCACACATGCTAGTCAACTGCTTTACCACCAAACTATATCTCCAGCTCTGCATTTTTTTTTTAATTTTCAAATTTTATTTTCAAGTTTTTTTTTTTAGAAACATTTCATTACAGCTTTAACATATTCAGTAACACATTCCAGAGCAAAGATACATCTCTTTCAAAGGTGGCTGTAAATTTTTAGGTTCACAGTTGAATTATCTATGCTACTAGAAGTTAGAGTAACAATAATCTTTGAAGAAATGACAGCTATTAGAAAGGAGCCCAGAGGTGGTTTCTAGGGAGTTAGTAATGTTTTGCTTCTTGATCAGATGAAGATCTATTGAATTTCACACTTGTATATATGATACATACTTCAAAAACATAACTATTTTAAGAAGCAAAAGAATAGGGCCAGGCATGGTGGTGTACACCTTTAACCCCAGCACTTGGGAAGCAGAGGCAGGCTGATCTCTGTGAGACCAAGGCCAGCCTAGACTACATAGTGAGTTCCAGGCCAGCATGGTTACAGAGGGATCCTATCTCAAAATATGTATATATAAATATACCAAACCAATAATAAACATTTGTCAAAAATACATATAATAAAACACAGAAATGAGAACACAGTGGGGGTAACAGAGGACAGAAGTACAGCATCCCTTCTGTGGTTCCTACACTGAAACCACTCCAATTGGCACACAAGGGGCAGCTCTAAATCAGAGTGGCCTCTAACCTGTGAGCTGAGGGGAGAGGTAGGCACAGTCTGAACATTTGTGGCCACAAGATAAAAGATGAAAGTCTTAATAGAGGGGCTGGAGAGATGGTTAAGAGCACTGACTGCTCTTGCAGAGGACCCAGGTTCAATTCCCAGCACCCACATGGCGGCTACAAACCATCCTTAACTCCAATTCCAGGGGAATCCGAAGCCCTCTTCTGACCTCCATGGCATTGTATGACAGGGATGCACTCACATACATGCAGGCAATACACTCATACACATAAAATAAAAATAACAAAATATTTTTTAAAGTCTTAATAGAGACCCACATAAACCAAGTTAACAAATTACTGTCTATGTTCCTCCTATCTTCACACACACACACACACACACACACACACACACACACTTCTTAAGAATCAGCAATGTCAGTTTCAGATTTAGAATTTTTGCACTATCCTAGGACCCTGAACCAATCCTTCTTTTCCCAACCCAGATAAGTCCCACACTGCAAAAGAAAATAACACCTCACAATTGCAAGTGTGGACACCCCAGGACCCTTACGTTCTATTCAAGTTCAGCTGTTCCTTAAGCCTTGGGTGTGTGCCAGCAGCAGTCTTCTCTTCAGACGAAGTACCTGAGGAAAAGCCCACACAGGTCCTGGAAGCAGGCCAAGGCCCTTGGGTAAGGTGCTGTAAGATGCAAGGCTGCTGGAAGAGCAATTTAATTAGTGTACCCATTCTGCATAGGTACAGCATGGGTACATTCCATTGGCCCACAGACTCCTTGCCAGACAGGAAAAACACAGCAAAAGAGGGCCAAGTGGGGGGTCAGTCAAGGGCCAAGTGAAGACCAGTTAAGGGCCTTTATTTCCAAGTTTAAGCACAATAACAGAGATAAGGTTGTCTTATTCTGCAGCCCAGCCCCATGAAATCAACCTGACTTGATACTTGCTGTGTTAATCTACTTTCTGTTATGACAAAATGCCAGGCATAATCGACTTAAAGGGAAGACAGGTTGGACTAAGGGTATAGCTCAGTAGTAAAGTGTTTCTCTCTCTAGCATACCTGAGGCCCCAGCACTACAAAAGGGAAAAAAAAAAAAAGAGGAAGGGTTTATTTGACTCATGGTTCCAGAGTTTGTAGTCACTTGGCTCTATCACATTGGGCCTGTGGTGATAGTACATCCTGGCAGAAGTATGTGGAAAGAGTTGTTCACTTTTTAGTGACCAAGAAACAAAAGAGAGAGACAAAAGGGGGGGTGAGGGTTCTAATATCCCCTCGAGGACACGCCCCCAGTGACCTACCTTTCTCTCATTAGGCTGCATCTTTTAAATGTCCACCACTTACCAACAATGTCACCAACTGACAGTCAAGTGTTTAACACCTGGACACCTGGGCATCACTTTTCCAAACCATGGGCTTGTTCTGCCTTACAGTCTACAGAGCATGTTCACATACATACATTCAGCCCCCAAGATCGCTAACATTCTAACATACTACCACTTGAGAGATGAGAAAACAAAGACAAAGTGACTTGCCTGAAATGCTGTTGAAAAATGAGCACTGTCAGGTCTCTAGGGCACAGCATTTCAAAGGCTGTAGTCCTCTCACTGCTCCACAATGCCATGCGTCTCCCAGTGTCTCCTAGAGAAAGGACAGAGATAAAAAAGAATTGGAAATTGGAGACACGTGGTCAAAATGTTTTGGAAGAAGACTAGAGTCAGGGAAGGAAATTAACACCAAATACAAAGCAGTTTCTGGAAAAGAATCTGGACCCAGAGCAAAACTCAGCACTGAGACAAAGCCTGCTCTATAGGGGGAGCCATCCTTGCTGAGTCCTGGGGGCTCCGTTCCCACCCAAACCACAAAATGAGAGCCTGCAACACATTGAAGCAATCTCCACCCAAATTCCACACCAATTACACGAGGGGGACTGACACCACTGCCCTTCTCCCCACCACTCCACTGAAAATACTGTATTAATGAGAGGGCAGCATAAAGCCACAGGGCTTCATCCGCTCAGAGACAATCCAGCAAGCAGCCTGGCATCAGCCACACATGAAGCCCAACCCTCCTTCAACAAGGACCCACTGAGGCTACACCTCTCTCTAAATGCCAGGGTGCCTGGCTCAGAGCCTGGGCAGTTTCTTAGAGAACTGTCTCCTGCTGCTAGCACAGATATCCATGAGACTGGAATCCACACTGTCTGCTCAAAACTAGCTACCTGAAGCTGTCACCTCCTCACACCACTGTCCCTGGACACCTCCAGCCCTCTGTGTGCCGGAGTTCAGCAGCATCATGTCGCTTGCACACACAGCTGCAGAGTACATGCTCTCTGATGCCCTGTTGCCTGACCGCAGGGGCTCTCGCCTCAAAGGACTGCGCCTGGAACTACCACTGGACCAGATAGTCAAGTTTGTTGCTGTAGGCTTCCCTTTGTTGCTGATGTCCTTGGCATTTGCTCAGGAGTTCTCCTCTGGTAAGTTGCTTCTGAGACCCCATGAGAGACCTGAATTCTTTTCATTCTGCATGGGCTATCAAATGAGCAGGCTCCCACCTTAAGTAGGTTTCATGGTTTGGGGCTGCACTGATTCCCAACTGGCAGACCATGCATGAGTCTAGGACACCAGCAAAGTGGAGGCACCAAAAAGTTAGAAAAGTCAACTCTGATATTTTACAATAAAAAATAATTAGCTAGAGGAGGACGACGAGGAGGAGGACGAGGAGGGAGCAAAGGAAGGGTAGGGGTCAGGTATGAGGGAGAGTCTGCTCAACACAGAATATATACCTGAAACTAAATATATAAATTTTTAAAAGAGTAAGTTGTAACTTCAGTATTCATACGTTCAATAATTAAACTGTCATTTTGACTTCTAGAGATAAGAAAGTTTGGGATCCTGTAATCTTTTCAAACTTAAAACCACTAGCCTCCCTGTGGACAAATTCTTTATTTTCCCAACCCCACTTGCAGAGTTACTAATTTGGGAACATATATTACAAGGCTAACAGAGCCTTCTTCAGAGGCACAGAATAAACTCATTGCTTCCTCTCCATAGCCCCAGACATTAGCACACACATGCAGTGTTGAGGGCGCTGGATAACGCAGCACACCTGATACCTCTAATGAAAGAATTTGGACTTCCTGAGAACTGGGCTGCCAGCTTCCTTTCCTGGGTGTACCCATTAGCTTAATGCATTTCCTGATGAAGTCTTCAACCTCCCTCTGCCTCTTCACTCATCTTCAAGAATGGAAGTAGGATTTGTTTCCATCTCTGCTTCTTTCTGATGGGAACAGAAAAGTTAGAGACACTCCTCCAAGCCCAGTTTCCTTCCCACATAGAGTCCAGGCAATTAGTCTTCTACATTTTACAACCTGAAGGAGCTATCTCTCAATCTGGGTGTGGTGTACACACCTGCAATCCCAGCACTCTGGAGTCAGAGGCAGAAGGATTGCAACTTTGAGGTCAGCCTGAGCCACACAATGAAACTCCACCCCTCCCCTCAAAATTTAAAAAAAAAAAAAACAGGGCTAGTGAAGAGGCTTAACAGGTAAAGGAACTTGCTGCAGAGCCTGATGACCTGAGTGCAGTCACAGGACACACATGATAGGGGAGAAGCAATTCCTGCAAGTTGGTCTCCAGCCTCCACATGGGTGCCATGGTGCATGCACACACACACACACACACACACACACACAGTCACACAGAGTCACAGATACACCCTAAATGTGATCGTTTTTTTAAATTTAAAGGATGTCATTTCTCTCAGGAGGAAATATCACTATCAAACTTCAAGCCCTTTGGTGCCTGAGTGCAGGGTACAGGGAGACTGCTGGCTGCATGTGTAGGAGTCTGGAGGAACTCTGAGAGAAGAGGATCGCCAGACCTAAAAGGTCAAGTCAGTACATTGGTATCATGGGCCAGACAATGGCTACCTACTCTACCATGCCCTGCCCTCCCATGACACAACAGTGCGTGTCTCAGAAAATTGAGGCTCAGGAAGAAGGCAAGCCCTGCCAGACACATAAAGTTACCAACTTATAGAGATGAACCCTAGAAAACTCTTGAATGCTGGCTACTAGGGTTCCTGTCCCTCCACTGAAGCTCAAGTTTGCCTCAAAGCTCTATTCCTGTTGCAGGGACTCCAATCAGCTGCTTCCCTCCCAGTAACTTCAGCGTCAGGCAAGCCGCATACGTGGATAGCTCCTGCTGGGATTCACTAGCTCACCATGAGCAGGACGAAGCTGGCCAGTACAAGGTGAAATCTCTCTGGCCGCACAAGGTAAAGCAGACAGAGGTCCTATCAGGCTGACTTCCTGAATAGGAGGGATGGAGATCATGGAACTGCACCACTGAGCTCTTCTCACCTCACCCCTACCCTTGCCCATTCATCTAATCAGAGTCTATGTGCCTGTGGGTGAGGCTTATAGACTGGCAGCTTTAGGTGAAGGTGCTCCCTCTGGTGTATTTAATTGGGAAGAAAACTCAAGTATCAAAATTGTAGTCCTATCAATATCTGTAGCTAGTCTATTGTCTCTGAGAAGAGTCACAGCATCCTGCATTTGAGGAGAGGACTAAGATGCAGCTGGTGGGAAACCTGGCTGCCAGCCCTCTGGGAACTCAGCCGTGAGTCTCACCATTCAGTACTCATTGGGCTGACACCCTCCCCAACCCCAGTCTCAGACTGGTTCTCCAGCCTACAGTGGACTCAAGCATAGAGTTTAGCCTGGTTTAGTCTCTCAGAGAGTAAACTTCAAGCCTGTCTATCAATCAGGAAAAGGGAAGTATGGTCACTTGAATGCAGGATAGAAAGATCTATGGGTCTACCTCTCATGGGCTCTTCAGTGTCCTTTTCTCAACCTGTCTTATATTCTTGTTTGTTTGAGGTTCCCCCATATCCTTAATTCCTGAGTGACTCTGGTTCTGATTTGTGAATTGTCCTTGCCTCAACATCCCCCTTCCCACACACCACTACTTGAGCTACTCCCCCAGCTTTCACTATGTCCTTGCTCTTGTCTGTTTCTCTCCTGTTCTCTTCCTCCTTAAGTTGTGTCTTTCTTTGGCCTTTGTTGTCATCCTAGTAGGATTCTATGAGGGAACAGTGGCAACATATCTTTTCTATTCATAATGTCTGATCAAAGGTCACTCAGGCATTTTAAGGGATAGCCATTACAAAGCCTCAAAGTACCAAAGTCCCGTCCCAGGACCCATACAAAACCAGAAACTTAATGGGAAAGCCTGCGATGCCTCTGTCACTGGCAAATCAGCACGTATGGATAGTGACAAGTTCAACAGATTCTGAGGGAGACAATGTCAAAATGCCTGACCACCAAGGTCGCTCAGAAGCTGTCAAAATCCAGATTCCATTGCTCCACCCTGATCCTAGGGAACACTCTGTGGGGTGAAGGATTTCTTTCCAAAGAATGTTATTTCTTGAACAGAAGTGAAGTGGTTCTAATTAGCTTACCTATTCTAGCATTTTTTTAATTTTCAAAAACTCAGAGACAGACAGACAGACAGACAGACACACACACACACACACACACACACACACACACACGTATATATACACACCACCCAGATGCAATCAATATGCACCCACCAGCTTTTCCTCTAGGCTTTCCACTGAAAGAACAAAGCATACCTGGTCCATGAAAAGCTATAGGTCAAAGAGTCATTATGAGATTCTTTAAGTTAAATTCCTAAATTGCCTGTCCTGGCTCCAGACCCTAGCTTTCCCATCTACTGAGTGTGCAATCCTGTGCTGATACTTACCTATCCATGCTTCAATTTCCTTCACTGTAAAATAGAGACACTAATTGTACCTCCCCAATAGTATCTTTGTGAAAACCAAATGAAATAATGCATGTTGTTTAGTGCCTAGCAACAAATGTAGATTTAACACTTTTTCCATTTTTAATATTTTATTGAGTTTTTGTGTGTTTCATATAATACATCTTAATCTAATTTAGACCTCCCTCCCCCTTCCCTGCCCTCCATAGCCCCCCACCAGATTTCAGGTATTCTGTCATATATGTTAGATTAAAAGCCATCATACGTAGAGATTTTACTATGAATGAAACAGCAGGCCTCCCTCTGTTAGAAGTATAATAAGGAAACCTAAGGAAAAACCCTATTTTAGGAAGCCAGAAGTCTAAGACAAAAGTGTCAGCAGGACTGGTTCCTCTGAGGGCTCTAAGGACTAGATCTTCTATTTGGCTCATAGACACAACACCCTGGGTAGTCTCCACGTGTGTGTGTGTATGTGTGTGTGTGTGTGTGTGCCTATCTTCACATGAGCATGTACATTTGCATGTATGTGTGTACATGTGTCTTTAAGAATACCAATCATAATGGATTAGGGTCCCACCCTATTCTTATATAACCTAGACTTAAATTAACTAATATAATTAGTTATTTGAACTTTATTTCCAAATAGTCTCTCATTCTAAGGTACTAAGGATTAAGACTTTCACATATTTGGGGGTGGGGTGGGAAATGCAAATTTCAACTATATTGATCCTTATCTCAAGTAGTGTATTACTTTTCTGTTGCTGTGATAAAATACCATAACAAAAGGCAACTTATAAAAGAAAAAAAAAGTTTATCTTGGCTTACAGCTCCAGAGGGATCAGAGTCCACTGTAGCAGTAAGGCAAAGCAGCAAGCAGCCGGCATGGTGGCAGGAGCCAGAAGCCGAGATCACATCTCCAACAAACACAAAGCAGAGAGAGTGAATTGGAAATGGGGCGAAGTTATGAACTCTCCAAGCCCTCCCCCAGTGACACACTTCCTCTGGCAAGGCTCTACCTCCTAAAGATTCCATGATGTCCCCAAACAGCATCACCAACTGGGGACCAAGTGTTCACATACTTGAACCTGTGGCAACATTCCTCATCAAACTATCACAGTAGATAATAGTGTAACTGAAAAGACAAAGTCCACACATTGCTAAAAGTCAGTTCCTTTTTGAACATCACTGAAATAACCCCCCAAAGAATCCTAGGAGAATATCTGAGTGTGTCATTTGACACTATTAAGGATCTAGAGACTAGAAAAGACCAGTGTGCACCATAGAAGTGCAGGGAAGGCTACATCAAAGAAGGTTTTTCTCCCTAGGCTGTCAGAGCCACTACTGGTCCTGGTCTCAAGCTAGCTATACATTGTGGGGCAGAAGAGGTGGAGATCTCCTCTACCCAACTCTCTCTCCTCTCTTGCTCTCTCCCTCAGTCTTGTGCTTTTTCTCTTATTCTTCTCCCTGGAGCCCTAGACAGATCATAGGTCAGAAAACTCACAGACCACGGATCTATGGGTAACATGGAGATCTGGCATTCCTTCTCTACCAGCATCACTGTATTCTTTCACATGGGCAGAGAGCCTTAGGTATCCCATTCCCCACACTGTCTAAAGTAGGAATAGGGAAGCAGTGAATCCAGCTTAGCTATCACACAAGATGCAGCACCATGGGCTCCCTCCTCAGCCTACTTTCTCCTGCAGGCCCTTCCCTACTCGCTGCTGGCCCTGGCTGTGGCCATGTACCTGCCAGTGCTGCTGTGGCAGTATGCAGCTGTGCCAGCCCTTAGCTCAGACCTGCTGTTTATCATCAGTGAACTGGACAAGTCCTACAATCGCTCCATCCGCCTGGTACAGCACATGTTGAAGATCCGGCAGAAGAGCTCTGACCCCCATGTCTTCTGGGATGAACTAGAGAAGTAAGTTGCTTTGTACACATTTTCCTAAAAGACTCTGGTAAGCATTAAAATGACAGCTGCATAGTCATCTTCAGATTTTTCTCTACACCATCCTTCTCAAGAGAGCAAAGTGTTTATATATCCACTCATGAACTTTCTCATTCCTGTAAGAACAATGAAAAGGATTCTACCTCTAGTTTACAGATGACCACACTGAGCCACAAGACCTTGATCTCTCTAAAATATGGCTTTGTATACTATCCCTCTGCTTCAGAAACATTAGCTCCCCTCATGCTTAGAAAAAATGTTGAAATTCTCAAATATTTGTCCAAGGCCTCAACACAATGTCACCTACTACTTCTCAAACTTCTAGGTATACGTTGCATATTACTAATCTCCAAACTGCACTGTTTCAAAATCCAAACATTTTGAGTATCATTGGTAAAGTCTATGCAAGTATTCCAATTTTTTTTAAAAACACCAAAATATAAAACATTTCTAGACTGGATAAGGGATATTTAAACTATTCCACATGACAGAAAACCTTCGCTCCACTTAAGCAGTCTTCTCCTTATCACCAAACAAATCAGTGATGTATTTATTTAGTCATTCATCCATCTAAGTAGCAGGCACTATACTGGGTACATCAGATACATTCATATGTGTGTGTGTGTGTGTGTGTGTGTGTGTTGGGACGGGGCAGGGGCAACAAGCTATATTTACCCATGCACGGCTAGATTCCCTCAAAGGAAACAGACAAGAAAGCAGAATACACAGACAGCTAAGATATATGAGAAATGGTAACATAGGTGAAGGGAGTCTGGAAAGCTAAGAGATAATGACTGGTGCATTTAAATGGGGCAGGTGTGGGTAGGGGGCCAAGGGGAGGGGAGCTGAGCCAGGATTTGCAATCACACTCTGTCTCGTGTTTGTGTGCATACTATATCCTCTCAAAATAGTTCCTAACTTCCTGAAGCCCAACCTTAAGTCAATATTCTCTGTAAAGGTTCCTGAACACTCTAACCTATAATGTTACTCCATCTCCTAATATTCACAACTACTACGATTTGTATCCATCAAGTCAGCAACAAGTATTAACTTTATTCCATACGTGCGTGTCTTATTTGCCCTTTCCTACCAGTCAGACATTAAACTTCTTCAAATCAGAGACTGGCTTACCTGTTCCTTGATACCACACTTCTCAGCGGGATTTGTTAACACATTATTTTTTATGAATGAGCTAGCCTCCAAATCACACTCAGAACACCGAATGCATTCTCTAGATTCCCAGTCATTAGCTTATTGTTCCACAAGGGCCCTACTTCAGCTGAGAGTTTTAGTTGGCCTTGCTGGGTAGAAATCCAGTGTGACTGTGACCATTCATTACTCATTTACCATCCCTGGGTTTATCATAGTGAGCTCAGTGTTTGGAGAATTGAGCAGTATTCACACACCTCCTTTTCTGGGAGGATCATGGTGATACTTGGGGAAGGCCAAGTAATGGATACTAAAAATGCTGTGCTAAATACACAGATCTGCTCATCTCCCATATGACTTTTAGGGTATGGATCTAAATAGTCTTTCCTAACTTTGTCTTCTTTCTTCTCTTGCTTAGGGCCCGGAAAGAACGGTACTTTGAATTCCCCTTGCTAGAGCGGTACCTGGCATGTAAGCAGCGCTCACACTCTCTAGTGGCCACCTACCTCCTAAGGAACTCCCTGATGCTCCTCTTCACATCAGCCACTTACCTGTACCTTGGCCACTTCCATCTGGGTGTCTTCTTCCAAGAAGAATTCAGCTGCTCCATCAAGACAGGGCTGCTGCATGATGAGACTCATGTTCCGGATCTGATCAAGTGCAGGCTGACCTCCCTGTCTGTTTTCCAGATTGTTAGCCTCTCCAGTGCAACAATATACACCCTGCTGGTTCCAGTGATAATCTACAACCTCACACGGCTGTGTCAGTGGGACAAACGACTCCTGTCCATCTATGAGATGCTCCCAGCCTTTGATCTCCTCAGTAGAAAGATGCTGGGATGCCCCATCAATGACCTCAATGTGATCCTTCTTTTCCTCCGAGCCAACATCTCTGAGCTCATCTCTTTTAGCTGGCTGAGTGTGTTATGTGTGTTGAAGGACACAACTGCCCAGAAACACAACATTGACACAGTGGTTGATTTCATGACTCTATTGGCTGGATTAGAACCCTCCAAACCTAAACATCTTACCCAACAGGTGTGTGATGAACACCCCTAGTTAAGAAAGAAACAGTGGAGTGAGAAGTTTTGTAGAATGTAACTCTCCTCCTTCACAAACTAAACAGAGTAATGGACAAAAAAAAAATGCCCACTTTAGAATTGCTAAGCTTGGATTCAGCTGAGTTATATATCCTGTATTTAGAATAATATATAATCAAGGGATGAAAAACTAAATGTGACTCTAGAACTGAAAAGCCAAAGAACTGAGAAGCTAGGTCTAGAACATTTGGAGGATAGTAAAATTGGGTGAATAAATAGAAGGGTAGACATGCCACACAGGAAGGTTCTAAAGGCTATTTATGGGGGCAAGCTCCCACTCTCTTCTTTCCTTCTAGAATGCACACTTGTCTCACACCAAGAGCAATTGGTAAGAGATTAATAAAGATGTGAAACTCCTAGAAACACTGGTATGACCTGAAATCCTAGGAACTCACCCACCTTGTCTGTGGAAGTGATCAGCCTTACCAGGCCCTCCATGGCCTGCAAAGTGAGCCAAGGGGTGACAATGACTTTAACTTACAATGCTCTTGGGATTTAAGCACAGAGGCAAAGGCCATGAGTGGAATCTCCAGGGCTGAAGAGACACTTTTAATTATCTAAACTGAGGATTCATTTAAACAAAGGCTCAGATTGTGGGCTGTGAACACCTTCACAACTCTTAAAGGGTCAAGGTATGTTCTTAATAGATCTTAATAGCCAACCACTTATAACTAAGCAGGATAAACAGAGCCAAGAGCAAGATGGCACAGCGGCTGAAGATGCTTGCTGCCAAACCTGATGACCTGAGTTCAATCTCTGGGACCCATATGGTGGAAGGAGAGAACTGATTCTCAAATTGGCCTCTGATCACCACATGCATGTACACATGCACACACACACAAAATAAATAAATAAGTGCTAAGGAGGATTAACAGACAAGTAATATTGAGCCCCTTGTCTACATTCTCTGGTTTGCCACCCATCCTTGCATCTAACTCTCAACGCTTTGATCTCATTCCAAAGACCATGCTCCACCCACACTGTCATGCTGTCTCTTATTAAATATTTTTAAAGCTGTTCATTATGTATTAAGAGAATTTTTACACAGTCCATTTAGATCCCTCTTCACATAGGTAAGTAAAAAAGTTATGCTGCTTCTGACAAATTCAGGTAAGTTTACCTAAAACAAGCAAAGGACTGACATACAGATGCTCCTTGGTGACCTCCTGTCTAATGAAAGTCCAACCCTTGTGTTGGTGCACAGCCCTTTCATGACCTAACCCTGCCCACTACTTTAGTCTTTCCTCTTGCTCTCTTCATTAAGCAGAAGATAGACATGAACAGGGAGGCTGGGAGAAAGCAGTCCTAGAAGACAGCTCAAGCCCTGTTTCTATTTGTGCAGTCTGACAAACTACTGTAAATCCCTGGCCACAGCTATCATGACAAAGCCTCTAATTTTAAATTAAAACAATGGCTTAATATGGAACAAAACTGTCTTGTTATGTTAGCTCCACTTGTCAACTGGACATACCTGGGAGGATGGATTCTCAGTTGAGGAATTTCCTCCATCAGAATGGCCTGTGGGTAGTGCCATCCTTGGATTTGGATCCCAAAACAGGATGAAGCCAAGAATAATGGGGTTTTCTTTTGTTTTGTTTCTCTTAATTGGCTTTTTTAATATTTATTTTTCTTTTTAGAGGGGGGTGCAGGTGCCCATATCAGATTTCATGGAGCTGGAGTTACACGCAGTTGTGAGCCTCCTGATGTGGGTGTTAGGAAGTAGACTTAGGTGCTCTGGAAGAACAATACTGCTGTCAATGACTGAACCATCTCTCCAGCCCTGTTTTTATTATTCATTCATTCATTCATTCATTCATTGGTGCGAGGAATCCAGGCCCTTTCACTTACTAGGCAAGTGCTTTACCACTGAACTATACCTTCCTAAGATGAATGTGGTTGCATGTGTCTCAGCATTTGGGAGATGGAGACAGGAGAATCAGGAAGGACTTTAAGGTCATCTTTCCCTACATAAAGAGTTTGAGAGACTGGAGAGATGGTTTAGCGGTTAAGAGCACTGACTGCTCTTGCAGAGGACCCGGGTTTGACTCCCAGAACCCCTATGACAGCTAGCAAGTGTCTGTAACTCCAGTTCCAGGGGAATCCAACACTGCCTTCTAACCTCCACAGGCACTGCATGACACAGGTGCACTTACACACATGCAGGCAATACACTCATACACATAAGAAAATAAAAATAAAAATAAGATTTTGAGGCCAGCCTCAGCTATATGAGACCCTATCTTTAAAAGCCAATAAATAACTTCTTAATTTCTAAGATTTTTGAGAAATTTTTCACAATTGTAAAAAATGTTTCTGATGAAGATGAAATAATAAATACGGTTATGTGCATTTCATTGAAGTCTATTGGCCGGGGCAGCCTGCAAACAAAAACAGCATAGTACTTCCCTCCCCAGTAGACACGACACATGTAAAAGATGAATAATACAAATAAAGTCAAGTCTCAAGGTCTCTGAGGAGAAAATACAACTATACAGAAATCAGGAGATTAGATAACATTTTTTGATAAGAATACAGTCACTTCCAATTACTCTGCTTTCAGGCTACAAAGTAAAGCTCTACTGTATACTTTCAAAGGCACAAAGTATGAGGGTTTTTTAAATATTTTATTTATTATTTTTATTTTATGAGTGTTTTGCCTGTGTATGTAAGTGCACCACGTGCATGCAATGCCGGAGCAATGGATTCCCCTAGAACTGGAGCTATAGAGGTTGCAAGCTGCCATGTGGGTGGTGGGAAGTGAACCAGGTCCTCTGGAAGAACAGCAAGTGCTCTTAACAGCTGAGCCATCTCTCCAATCCCAAATGAAACTTTTTTCTTTGCTTTTTAAAACAGGGTCTCACTATGTAGCCCTGGTAGGTCTACAATTCCCTTTGTATACCAGGCTGGCCATAAACTCACAGAGATCTGCCTGCCTCTGCCTCCTGAGTACTGGGATTAAAGATGTGTGCCACCATGGCCCAGCCTAAGTGTTAGCATTCTGTAAACTGAAATAATTCTGATAGCCTCCAAAACTAAATTTACATGGCTGCCTTAGGTATGTTTATGAAAGCAAATGACCCCCTGAGGAGGTATATAGTTAAGACTCAATCAAACCCAACACAGGCATCTTACAACATGGGTACCATAAAAGAATTTCTGTAAATTTCTCTGTGTTAAAAAGCCATTTGTTAGGGGCTGGAGAGATGACTCTGGTTAAGAGCACTAGCTGCTCTTGCAGACGACCCAGGTTTGAATCCCAGCACCCACATGGCAGTTAACAACTGTCCATAACTCCTGTTCCAGGGGATCTGACACCCTCTTCTGACCTCCTTGGGCACTGCATGACACAGGTCATACAGGCAATACACTCATACACATAAAAATAATAAAACATTTTTTTAAAAGCCATTTTGTCAAGGTTCTGCCAAGTGTTTTTACAATTTTAGAAATAAAGTACCTGGGTTGCTTATTGAATTCTAAGTTATTTTTATTAGTCATATTTTCTCAAGTAATTTCAGTGAATTTATTAACTATATAACATTTTTCTGAACGTTCAGGCACAACTCTAGAAGTCCACATTTTGAAAATTTAACAGGAGAACTACAGTTTAGAAATCCCACTCACCTCATTTTTTTTGTTTGTTTTGTTTGGTTTGGTTTGGTCTTTTTTGAGACAGGGTCTCCCTGTAGCCCCAGCTGACCTGGAACTCGCTATGTAGACCAGGCTGGCCTTGAACTCAGAGATCTGCCTGCCTCTGCCTCCCAAGTGCTGGGATTAAAGGTGTGCACCACCAAGCCCGGCCCTCACCTCATGTTTTCAGAGAAAAAAAGGACTGTGAACCAAAGGTTCAGTCAATTAGCTAGAATGTAAAAACAGGATGTATCCAGTCTAGGGCACTTACCAATTTTGCACCTTAAAGATTTGTCTGTCCACTAGCGATGTAGCGCCCTTGGCTGAGTGCCCTGGTAGCATGCACAAGGCTCCAGGTTTCACCCCCAGCACTACAGCCAGGTGTGGTGGTGCACTCAGCAGGCGAAGGCAGGAGGAGCAGGAGTTCAAGGTACTCTGCTATATAACAAATTGGATGCCACGCTGGTCTACAAGAAAAAAAAAAAAAAAAAAAGATTTGTCTGTCCTTAGAACCACCATGGTTATAAAGTTAAAATGATTAAAAATAGGGGCTGGATAGATGACTCAATGATTAAGAGCACTGGCTGTTCTCGCAGACCACCCGGGTTTGATTCCCACAACCGCGTTTTTAACTGTAGTTTCAAGGGATCCAACGCCCTCTTCTGACTTCCGTGGGCACTGCACGACTCGGATGCACTTAAACACATGCATGCAAATTAACTCGTACACATAACAAAACATTTTTAAAACTATTAAAAATAATGGGCATGTGTACAGAAAAAGCACTAAGTGCCTATTTTGTTTTAGCATTTTATTAAAACTATTGGCCCATTAGGTTCTAAGTTTGGCGAGAGTCAAGATCTTTTTTTCCTCTACCCTAAGGTGGTCCCAGTTCCAAGGAAGTTCACATCCTAAAAAACATCTGTGCAAGTTGCAAAAAAGGGGAAGCATCATCCCAGCAATGGCATGCAATTCTTCTACGATCCTCCAAGCAGGTACTGAACAGCACTCGCCTGCGCACAGCGAGGGCCGACACTCGCCTGCGTGGGGATTTTGATTTGTTCTTCCGCCACGTACAGGGACACACCAGACCTCACCCGCTTGCAGCCTCGCAGTCCCTCATCCCGCTCCCCTCCTCTCAGGTCTCAGACCTGCAAGGCCTGGACGGCCCGTAGCTCCCAAACCCGGAAGTTACACGTGGCAGCTGCTGTTACGCAACTTCCGGCGGCGCTACGCGGAAGTGCTGGGAAGCTCAGGCGCCGGTTTGTGTCGGCTTCTCCAGTCCGCGTGGTGATGCCCGCAGCAGCCCGCAGCCCCCGAGCTGGGGCCGGACCATGAGCCTGCTGGGCGGCCTGGCTCCCGAGCCACGCACCCCGCTGTCGTCCAGCAAGGCCAGGATGAAACGGCTCCCGAAGAAAAGTCAGAACGAGAAGTACCGGCTCAAGTACTTGCGGCTGCGCAAAGCGGCCAAGGCCACGGTGTTCGTGAGTCTCTCGGCTCAGCCGCTCTGCCTGCTTCCTCGGGAAATCTCCCCTTCCTGTTCCTCTTCCCCGAGAGACAGGGACATATAATGTTACTTTCTGGTGTACATCACTTGCTAGTCCTGTATCCTTGGATACATTATAAATTCTCTAATTCTGTTTCCGTCTCTGTGAGGACAGCAAAGTGCTCGGCCAATAAACTTTAGTCGTTAATGTTTTACCGCATTTGATTTTCAAGACAATCTGAGTATTCAGTGTCGTTTTTAAAATGAGAACACCGAAGCCCAGAGGAGTGAATTTGTCCTGGTTCCTACTTAGATACCCTGATTATAGTGTGTGATTTCCACTACACAACCTATTTCCCAAGCACACCCCAGCCCCAACCCGTGGCTGACTCCTTGCTTAAACAGGTACATGAATCTTTCAGTAATGTCCCCTCCTCCCACCCCCGCCCCGTTGTACCCTCCATTTGATGATGCTTCCAGATGTTTCTGCCCTCCCATCACCCGGTGCTGGTGATGCAACCCAGGGAGCTCTCCACCACCGCCTTAATATTGAATGATTGGACTACTCTGCCAATCGTGATGTGTTAGACTATTTGGGCATAGCCAAAGTCGCCTCTGTGCTTGGAAATAGGGATACAGTCCTCAGATGTCCTGCATCTGAATCAATAACTTTCCTCTTCTTTCTACAAAGCTTAAACATATCCAGGCCTTTGAAGATGCACCAGGAAAAACTTTGATAATAGTCATTCCTAAAACATTCAACACTTGCTCTGTGTATTAGGAGGAAATAACCAAAATAAATGGAGAACTCCACACCCGACTTACTTTTCCTTTTATCACTTATATGTCAAAGTTACCTAATGCTTAGGATTTATGTTATGTAAGAATGTTGCTTCCTGTAAGTACACAAAGATTTTGTGAAGCAAAAGGGTGTTATTTTGAATATTCAGTTTGAGGTTCAACCTGTGGAGCATCCAAATAACATTTCCTTAAGAATTGGGGCTGAAGAGATAGTCATCAGGAAAGAATAGTGGTACTTGGATATACAAATACATGATGTAGTTAAGGATATTTTTCACATGAGATTAAATTTGGTTCCATCCAGTTTCTAAGGTACTATTCTGTGAAATGCTGTGGGTTGGGTTGTTTTTGTCAAAGTCAAGGCCATTGGGTATGGACAGCCCTTACAGTTATGTGGTAGTATGAATTTAAGTCTAAATAGTATACTCTTCTCTGCCAAAGGCTACTCTTAATTGGTTTGCCCAGGGAAGTTTGGGTGATCCATATTATTCTAGCATAAGTATTAAGAGCTTCCTGTTTACCCACACTGTATAAGAAATTGTGTAATTACTCTGTGTTAGGACCTGATTGTTTCTCCCTACAGATTTTTTTGAGATTTTCTTTTTTATTGTTTTATTAATAGTACTCTGTGTGCGTGTGTGCATGCGCGCCAGCACTCATGTGCCACAGAGCACATGTGGAGGCCAAAGGACAGCTTTCAGGAGACTGTTCTCTATTTCCATCACGGCTTCCCGAAATCACACGGGTGGCCGCCATGCACAGCAAGTACTTTTTCCCCCACTGAGCCATCTTCCCAGCCTTCTGCAGATTTATTAAGTTTCTCTGTAAGGTGGAAAAGCTCTTCCTTCTTACTCAGTAGCACAGATGTTTCTGGTTTGAGATACGGATCTTGTTCCCAGAATACAACTTTGATTTTTTTTTTCATTTTATGTAATTATGTTCAATTTTTTCTTAAAGGAAAATGCTGCTATTTGTGATGAAATTGCTCGTCTTGAGGAAAAATTTCTTAAAGCAAAAGAAGAAAGAAGGTAAAATAGCTTTATTTTGTGTTCAGAATCATATTTGTATGTGTTGATTGATAAGGTATTATTGCTCTGGGATTTTTCTCCATTGGATTCTTATACATTGCATAGCCCTTGACCACTTGAGTAGTACAGAGAAACTTAAAACCTGTTGTGTTGTTTCCCACACAATCAAGTCATGTTGGACCATGATGACAAAAATGGTTCCTCTACTCGTCTTTCTTGACAAAGCCCTCTTCTGCATATAATCAGTAATCTTATTGTAACCCCCAGTTTTGAAAACCCATGTATAAAAGAAACTGCTGCTCATTCTATAAACATTCAATCTGTACTGTATGCAAAACAGTAGGTATATGTACATCTCTGATTCATAATGAATACCCTTCAGACACTTGACACCTTCCAGGCTCAAGGTAGAAGAGCCCTCCAGATACAAAAGTTATTATCTTGATTTCTTCACGTATTGATTATCCTCTCGGGCTTCATTGTCCCCAGGGCACAATAAGACCTTTATTTTTCTAAGTATGATAATCTTTGTATATAATTCTATATTTCCCTATACTTAAGTAAAATACTGAATTGAGAACAAAACAGCAGCTTATACCTCAGCTCCCATTCCTTTCCAACCTCAGATACTTGCTAAAGAAGCTCCTCCAACTTCAGGCTCTAACTGAAGGTGAACTACAGGCTGCAGCCACTTCCCACAGCTCCAGTTTACCCCTGACTTACAGTGTGTCCAGCTCTGTAGGAACTGTCCAGGGAGCTGGGCCCAGCACTGGGGCAGAGGAACCATTTGGGAAGAAATCCAAGAAGGAGAAAAAAGAAAAAGGCAAAGAGAACACCAAACTGGAAGGTATTTTAAGGAGAAATGTATCAGTTGGCCCACTGGCTCAACTACTGATGACAAAGACCTGGTGGTACTAACTGGTAGACACATGTGATACATGTGTCTCATAAAGTTTCATAAAGTCCCCTGAGAAACAAGTGTCTTACTAGAGCCACTTTGGAGAGAGTCTGGTTAGACCTGGCAAATGGGAAGGGGGCAGACTTGAGACCACTGTCCCTCCTGCCCTGCTCTCTGAATTACGTTCACTTCAGTCTTTCCTAGAGGTGGGGAAATGGGCTCTGCCGCCTTTTGAGCACACTGCTAGCTCAGGAATTCCTGGTCGTACCCTGGTTGTGTGGTTGAAAAGAACTTAAAAGTGTAAAGCTTTTAGTGCCTCAATACTTACATTAAAATTAGTTACTGCTGGTAGGCAGTTATATAGATACTCAGGGCTTTGGGGAAAGGCCCCATAATGCCCATTCAGTAAATATCGACAGTGCCTCCCCTACTGTGGTTCAACTGGTGATTTTTTTCTTCTTTTTTTTTAATCTTTACAATGATAGGAAAGCAGTATGTATTCAGTAGAAACTGTACTTTGAACTTTGGTTTTTTTTTCCCTCTGGATACTGACATTCAGTGTGATACACTTTTGTAATGCTAGACAATGGCAAGAAGCCACAGTTCCAGGCAGAAACAGCCAGAACTCCACACTGCTGTGTTGCTAAGCTATGCTTGCTAGGTTAGGTATGTTATATGCATTTCAACTTACATTATTTTCAACTTATGCTGGGCTTATGGGTAAGTAATCCCATCATAAGTAACATCCATATAGAAAACCAAGATTGGCTTTCCGCCTTTACATGTAAATTTTCCCTCCCCTTGGCATTGGGAGGGACCTAAAGTGGGTGACCGCAGATTTGCGTTTCAGTTCTGAAGAAAACATCCAAGAAAAAGAAAATGGAGGGAGGTGCTCGCAAGCTGGTTCAGCCCATTGCCCTGGATCCCTCAGGACGGCCTGTGTTCCCCATCGGACTAGGGGGTCTAACAGTATATAGCCTGGGGGAGGTGAGTGAGACCAGCGCATAGACAGGAGGACAGAAATACGGGAATGGGGTTGAGCCTTCCCTCCCTTTCCCACTGGCAGCAGCCCCTTGCTGATCCATACCAACCCCACAACATCTCCAGTCCCTACGAAACCAGGTCAGTTTTGTCTGTTCCACAGTCAAAACATGTTCTCTAGGATTTGTCACTCTTCCCAGCCCCAAAGTGGCTCTAAAGACTACTATAGTCAACCGGGCCTCTAAATCCTTCAGGGACCTCAACTCCAAGTTGGGGAATCTTTTTTAGATCATCACCAACCGACCTGGCTTCCATGATGAAAGTGCCATCTACCCTGTGGGCTACTGCAGCACTCGAGTGTACACCAGCATGAAGTGCCCAGACCAGAAGTGTCTATACACCTGTCAGATCAAGGATGATGGTGTGCAGCCTCAGGTAGCCACTCCAGTAACAACTGCCTCTTTTTCTTTGATTTAGTTTTGGAGGGTTTTGTTTTGTTTTGTTTTTGTTTTCTGTTTTAAGAGCCTCTTTTAGTCTCAGCCTTTTAACTGTGTTAGTTATTCTGACACCTTGCAAGATAAATTGTTTAATCACCATTTGTATAACACCAAGATGCAGAAAAAGTAGCTGGGCATCAGTCACACCTCTGCTTATAAGTGGTTGATCTGGGATACAAATCTGTATTTAATTCTCAGACTGAAACCTTTCCCTTGAACCATGCTACTTCAACCATCCAAACTACCTACCTGAGACTAGACTAAGCCTGCTTACGTTAAATGCAGATCCATACAGGAAAGTTTAGTTCGGTATACTGCTGCTTTAGCTTGGACCAAAATGCAGATAACAGAAGTTATGTATTAGTTCTGGCTGCACATTCTCTTATAAGTTCTTGTGAGTAAAAAGAAGTCCTACTCTTATTAAATATCCTTCATCCTTGTTGGAGCTAAGATACAAGAGCAGCTCATTTTACCCATCTGTTACCTCCTGATCCTCAGGAAAAAATAGACCCATTTTCAGAGTTCACGTTTCACTGTCTTATTAAGTCGCTGGAAAACTGGGTAGAGGTTGAGGCAAGGTAAGGAACTTTGAGTAAAACTGGGAGAGACTGAGCCTGCCTGACTCATATGGGAAACACTGCATCACCCATGTCAGAGCTCTGTTAGATGGAGCTGCTGATTCTTGACCTTCACATAGCAGTGCTCTACAGAAGGTGCACTGATACAAAAGCTTACTGTCCTGCCAGTGTGCTGTATTCTCAACAAGCCTGTGAATGCAGTGCAGGCCTAGCCAGTCACAGCCTGTAAATGCAGTGCAGGTCCAGCCAGTCACAGCCTGTGAATGCAGTGCAGATCTACCAGAGTCACAGCTTGTGAATGCAGTGCAGGTCCAGCCAGTCATAGCCTGTGAATGCAGTGCAGGTCCAGTCAGTCACAGCCTGTGAATGCAGTGCAGATCTAGCCCGAGTCACAGCTTGTGAATGCAGTGCAGGTCCAGCCAGTCATAGCCTGTGAATGCAGTGCAAGTCCAGTCAGTCACAGCCTGTGAATGCAGTGCAGGTTCAGTTAGTCACAGTCTGTGAATGCAGTGCAGATCCAGTCAGATTCAGAGCTTTAATGGAAATTGACAAACTGATTTTTCATTTTCTCTTAGAGATAAATACTGAAACTTAAAAAGAGAATTTACTTTGGTTTGGTTTGGATGAGTTTGTTTTGTTTTGTTCTTAGATCACTAACCTAACTAGATCCTGTTTTTTAAGTATAATATTAACCAGGAATTTAACTTGAATTTTTTTCCCAATATCAAGTGACTTTAGTCATAAAAACTATTAATATATGTAATACTTAAGTCTGTTTCCTGTTGATTTTTTTCATTGATCTATTTGTCTATAAATGCCAATCTAAGGGGGGGGTGGTTAAGCTATACAGAATGTTTTATACTGGAAATATGATAAAAATATAAAAGAAATTTTATAATTTTAAGGTGACATCAAAAGGTTTTCTTTAGCATATGAAAATAGAAACCATAAAAGAAAATATTAACATACTGAATTGTTAGAAAGTTAAACACTTCCAAATAACAAAATGATAATCAGAATTAACACAACAGGAAGGGAGTATATACCAATTGATTAATATCCAGATAAAGTACTACTATAGAATAAGATAAAAAAAACTACCAGATAAAATGAAAATGACACCCCATTTTTGCCTAGAGCAGGTATCAGAGTTTGATAATATCTGGTCTTGGCCAAGGTGTAGGAAACCAAATACACATTCCTAACAGTGAAAATTGGGAAAGTATCCTTGGGCCCAGAATATTTCTAGGTAGCCTTCTTCCTAGAGATGCATGTAGCTTTGAACAAAGAATGACAACAATGAATTTAATTTCTTTTTGAGATAGCTGTGTTTGTTCTTAAAGATATAGATAAAAATAAAAAAAAAAGCATGGAACAGGTTCTTTGTTGACCACTGGGAAATAGTCGAGCAAGAGCCATAGAACTGAAAGAATTTTCTGTTTTCTTGGATTTGAATTTTTAATAACACCATAAGACATTTTTATAGCAGTCTTCTAGTGTGCTCTGCAGCAGCTTCGGCCCTATAGACTGCAACACTCATAGGAGCAGTATACTTCTACTTCTTCCCCTTTGCACATCAATCTGACTGTTCCTCTGCCCTTCTTAGTTTGAAATTGTTCCTGAAGAAGACCCCCAGAACACCATTGTTGGCTCTTCTGCAGATGCCTGTTATGAAGAACTGCTCAGGACTATCAGTGCTACAACGTAAGTGTCCTTGAAGACACTCAGAGGATCACTGTTAGTACATTTGAGACCTGTTCTCTTTCTTTCAGTGCATAGAGATCTCTTGCTTTATAGAAGCCTGCCCTGTATCCTTCAGACTTCTTAACAGCAAGTTTCCAGAGTATCTTAAGTTAGGAAAGCTGAAGGGTTGTATGTGTTCGTACCACCATTCCATTCTTAAACCTGTCTTCATCACCTTCTAAGCTCTCAAGCTAACACTTGCTCTCTTCTGTTTAGGGGGAAACTGGTGCCTAACCTACTTTCATGTGGCGCTGACTTCTTTGGGTTTTCTGATCCAACCATCCATAACCTGATCCAGAGTTGTCCCGGAGCTCGAAAATGTGTCAAGTAAGTATGGGCAAACCTATTCCATTGGTAGGTCAGTGGCCACCTGACCAGGGTTCTAAACTGGCAGTGACAACTTTTTTCATTCATGCATTTCTCGGGCTCCTGTGTCAATGACATGCTTTCTTCTCCACCAGTGTGCCATATTGATCCTCCTATCTAGACAGGTAAGTAGGAGCCAGTAACCCAATGTACTCCATAACAGATTGAGTACCCATCCAAAGTGCTTGGACTAAAAGTGCTTCAGATTGGGGATTTTTTTTAAAGAATTTTTTTCTTTAAAAATAGCCAGGCATGGTGATGTATGCCTTTAATCCCAGCACTCAGAAGGCAGAAGCAAGCAGATTTCTGGAAGCTCAAAGCCAGCCTGGTCTACATAGCAAGTTCCAGGCCAGCAAGGACTACACAGTGGGATCCTGTCCTAAAAAAGAAAAGTCGGGGGGATTGTACTGAAGAGATAGCTCAGCAGTTAAGAGCACTGGCTGCTCTTGCAGAGGTTCCCAGCACTCACATAACAATTAACAACCATCCTAACTCCAGTTCCAGGGGATGTGACGTCCTCTTCTGACCTCCACAGGCATTGCATGACACAGGTGCACTCATATACATGCAGGCAATACACTCATACACATAAAAAATATTTTTAAAAAGAAAAGAACATTTATATGCACATGAGGACCTTGGGGGTGAAATCCAAGTATAAATGAGAAATTAAACCTTTCATATATATACATTACACACATATCCCGGGGATAGTTTTATATAATATGTTTAATGCACTTGCATTTTAACAGTGACCCATCCCATGAGGTATGGAATTTCTCACTTATGTCCTTACGTGGTTACTCAAAAAATTTTCAAGTATTTTGAATTTCCAGATAAAAGATGCTCAGCACAAATCATTTATTATGTGCTCCATGATAATGAAAGGATCAAGTCTATCAAAACAATATATCACCAAAGAGGCATGCCTGTAGTTTGGTTGTTTTGTTCTTAGCTGAAGATATTTGGTTTTATTCTTAAGTCTCAGTGTCTCTCTCTCTCTCTCTCTCTCTCTCTCTCTCTCTCTCTCTCCCTCCCCCCCCTCACACACACGGGAAGACCTAATTTTAAAAAATAACTTGATCCCTTTGGAGATAGGAATGAGTTATTACACTCAAGAATGATTCCCTTTGGTCCTACAGTTACCAGTGGGTGAAATTTGATGTGTGCAAACCTAGAAAGGGGCAGCTACCCCAGGAACTGCCAGAGAATGATACAGCTATGAGCCTTGAAGCCTTTCAGAGACAGACCTTTGATGAAGGTCATGATGATTCCGTTTTGCCAGGTATCTTTTAACTTTGTCTTTCTGGTTTGGAAACTGGCCATCTTTAGGCCACTGTATCCTCATCACATGTTGGTGGGCAAGATGTAATGTTTCCCTGATCAGCTGTGAAGAGTGTTGAGAAAAGGGAACATACAATGCCTGCCTGGGGTTCCCATATTACTAGCAAAAGTCATGAAGAGCACCTGTGGTCTTACTGAGGCAGAGGACCCAGAGAAACTGCAGTGTCTCATTCTGTAACTTAAAGACCTGAGCAGTAAGAGGGTTTTCTGTGCAGGGAATAAAATTTCAGGTGAAGGCAAAGACTGAGTGCTGGTCTTGGCCCTCCCTATGTTGCCTGGATTACTTTCCCAAAATGGGAAGGGCGATCAGGAATGTGAGGGTCATGTAAGGTTTATATTTATATAGATAGATGATAGATGTACATACTTTTTTATATATACACACACACACGTGTGTGTGCATGTACATGTGGGTGTATGCAGTATATAACCATAGGCAAATCATTTATTTCAGTTTTTTTTATTCTTAAATGTCTATCATAACAACCAAGGGGAAAATTAGATTGACATTTACAAGTGTGAGAGATCAGAAGGCTGTGCGTGAGCCAGACGAGCACTCCTGAGATTCCTAAGCAGCAGTGCAACTTAAGGAATTGTTTTTTCCAGGATCCTTGGACCTCCCCGAGCTTCAGCATGCAGCCTTTGTATCATCTTACCAACCAGAGTTCCTGACACACGAACCTTTGGTAGACAATGACCTGCAGCATCTGAAGTCTCCTTCACAGTGTAGTCCAATTCAGTCTTCAGATTGAACAGGAAGGGATGTGAGCCCACTTCATTTTCATCATGAACTTCTAAACTTAAAGTTTTGGATATATGGGAGAAGGCAATACTTGAGAAGTAAAGAAGATACCAGCACATCTCATCAGGAGTATCCTGTGGTGACATTTTACCCTGAGGAAACCTCAGTTGCTTTATTTTTAGTAATAAATATCTCAACAATTCTGCTTACTGTAGTAAGGTTATAATCATTTTTGCTTAGCTCTGCCTAAAGTAAACTTCAATCTTTATGAGCCTGCTTAGTCTGTTAGGGTTGCTATAACAAAATACCATAGACTGTGTAGCTTATAAACAAGAAATTATTTCTCACCATTTGGGAGCCTGAAAAGTCAAAAGTTCAAGGTGTTAACCATGTCTGGTGAAGAACTGCTTCCTGATTCTTAGATAGCTGTTTTGCTATAAACCACATGGTGGAAGGGAGCAGTCAGGCCCCTTTAAAAATATACTCTTTATGAGTGTTTTGCCTGCATGTATGTAAGTGCAGCACGTGTGTATAATGTCTGTGGAGGCCAGAAGAGGGCATCAGATCCCCTGGAACTGTGAATAGTTATTAGTCGTCATGTGGGTGCTGAGAACCAAACCCAGATTCTCTGCAAGAGCAGCCAATGCTGAGCAATTACAACTAATCACCTCTGTAAAACCTCAAGTCTTATCATCACAGTGGAGATTAGGATTTAACACTGAATCCATAGGAGCTTCCGATTTATGAGGTGGGCAGTAAGAGCCTGACATTATACCCTTGATTCTAACCCTAGTTCAAGGAATAGCAAGTCCCCCTAGGCCCTGCAACCCAGACTCCATTTTTTGTCACATTTTGTACATCCTTCCAAGGGGTTAAAAAGTCCTCACCACTCAGTTCCTTGTTAGAAAATGTGCTTTTAACCCAGTGTGTTGAAATCACATGTTAACACAAGATCAGATATGACATAGTTGGGAATTAGTCCTCTTCCTCCTCAACAGACACCTCGTCATTTCATTTTGACCATGTAATAACTCCACATTATATACAAGTGAATTCTTTGGACCCTGCATATAGCATTAAAGGGAGGCTTTCTGTATCAGTCCCCACCAGTGCAGCGCCACATTACTTTGTGCCATTAATAGAGCTGGCCAGTAGGAGAGTTTTACCATGTAGCCCAGGCTGGCCCGGAAGTCCTGTTCCTCAGGCCTTCAACATCCTCTAGAGTGCCTGTATGTGATAAGCAGATGCCAATAACCCCAGCTTTTAATGGATACAGTCTTTGTATAACTTTTACACTGCAAAAGAATATAAAACTTGGATAATAGCAAATCAGGTAAGAAGGGCAGTTACTCAAAACTCATGTTTTAGTGTTAAGTTGAATGCTCACTCCATTTATCATATAAAAATATTATTACAACCTGAGAAAAAGACATACTCAAAGTTTTGTTTTAGAAAAACATTTTTGGGATTGGGGGTTTTTAACTTTATGATTAGTACAAGTTCATTACAACTGTTTGAACTACAACTCTTAATCTATTAACTGCATAAACTTAAGGAGTCAACACCTTCATCATCTTAAAATTTAAATCAGAATACACATCACACTCAAATACATTATAGAAAGATTGGTTTCAACTGTAATGTATGTGTGTGCATGCATGTCTATGCACTATACAGCATATATAAGCAAGTCAAAGTTTAGCAAGAATTGCTCATTCAGAAATTATTTGGGGGTGGTTTTTTTCTTTAGTTCAAATCTAGTTAGTGATTTATCTTCAAACAGTCAAAAATTCTTTTCATATGAGCAAATACACAATCACCACACAGTATTCTAAATTAGCCACTACTAGCAGCAATTTAATTTACACAACTTCATTACTATATGCATTATAGTATATACCTAACACAAAGTTTTTATACTGTAGGTGCTGGATTATCAAGAGTTAAAGGACCTTTGGCTTGGGGTACTTGGGTACCTAATGCTTCTACAATGAATATCCATAGGCATGTGTATGAGAGTTTGTATGTACCAGGGCTTGTGGGAGGGACAGGCAGGTAGACTTTCTCAAGAGCTGAGTGTTACTAGGCTTGTGTTCCCAAGGGGCCAGGTGCCTATATCAAAGTGTGGGTGTTAGGAGTGAATTAGGCTGTAAGTCCTCAGAGAAGGACTTAAAAAATGTGTAGTTTGTGTTTTTTGTTTTTTTTTTAACCAAATAAACTCTTGACACAAAGTTTTGCTTGCTGCTTTAATGACACCAGAGCCTCTCGGAAGACAGCTGTAAAGAATGCTTATTGCTTCAGTTCCCACTTCGCACATTTAAGAACAAAAGCACATGACATTCTACTCCTTTCCCCTGCTTCAAGGACTATTTATAAATCTGTTCCTAACAGTACGGACTGGATATAAATATATACATATCACTAATCACAATACTTTTATTTCCAACTTTTTAAAAATTATGTGTATGAGTGTTATGCCTGTGTGCATGTAAGTGCACCTGTGTTGTGCAGGACCCACGGAGGAGAGAAGAAGGCATCAGATCCCCTGGAATTGGAGTGATGGATGGTAGTTAACTACCATGTGGGCGTGGTATTCACACTCAGGTCTTCTACAAGAACAGCCAGTGCTCTTAATAGCTGAGCCATCTTTCCAGTCCCCCAACTTCTAATAGATATGACTTTCAAGAGTTGCCAGCTCTTTTTAATCAGCCAGCAAACTGCATTCTTAATAATACACATAAAAACTCGCTTTGACCTTTGTCTCATCTGCATTATTTTTCTGGAAGCTTATCATCATGTAACTTGACCTTCAGCCTAACTTTTACGAAGATTAGCTTTACTGATCTATGCCTACCTTTCAGGAACCTGAGGCTTAATTTAAGGACTTATTTGCCCCAGGTTCCTGTTTTCATAAGACCCTGTGCTTGTTGTGATTTCCCCACCCTTCGCCTGAGAGCATGCCCTGGCTCCATCTCTACTCGTTAAGTCAGGCCATTGGCCCCTGCCAGTATGCCTGACGTAGTTGATTTGTCTGTCTTAAACATTCACATTATCATAATGTACATTGAAAAGCAGAATTGTTTGGGGAGCTTAGAGAGAATACACATAGGTCTGTCTCTAGTTACCTGAAAGATCTGTCACAGAGTAGTAAAGTTTCCACATATTGGAAAACTCAGAAACTTTTTAGAGTTCTATTACCATTTTTCAGGGGGTTTGTGAAGAATACATGAAACACTAGCATCCAAGGCTTTTGAAATCTCCAGGCCTGAGATTCCATAGTTCTGGATGAAAGGGGGAAAATACATTAGGCATTTCACTCCCAATAATATGAGGGAAGTGAATGGCATTGAGTCCCAGGGTGGCTGTAGTTCAGTTAATCCAGCACAGAGGATTAGATCAGCCAGGGAGCAATGACAGAGCACTTCAGGTTCCTGCTGCCGGTGTTCATCTAGGGATACAGAAGTAGCCATGTGCTAGCTGGGAACTAGTCAATGAAGCTTTCTACTAATTTCCTTTAAGAGCAACAGTTGTCATCATTTAAAGTCCTATATACCCAAATCACCCTTGCTTTCAGATCTGGTAATATTGCAAATGTCATTTGGCAACCCTGCCCTAATGCCCAGGAACCTGGTCTGTAATAAGAGTGGTGAAGGGAGGAGCAGGCAGGGTACTGCTGGGGTGATAAAGGGGACACTGCTTATATTCACAGGGCCACAAGGTCCAGGCATAGCGAAGAGCAGTCACAGTGCCAAGACAAGCACTGGTACCCAAGCTTAGGGTCTGAGTAGAGAAAGTGGTCATGGGAGCTGGAAGCCACTTGCATTGGTGGTCACTGCAACAGGAGATCTAATAAGAGAAAAAAGTATCACTCATACACCTCAGCAACCCCTCAGTTATCTTGGTAAGTAAGCTCAGTAAATTCATTGGTTCCCCAGTACAACTAATCAAACATTGGCCTGACACTAGAACCTTAAAAGGGAATAAGCATTGCTTAGTATCCCAAGGAAAAGAATTCTCACAACAAATGGAGATTATTGTTAATGTTATTATGTCTTATAATTTAAAAAAAAAAGAAACAGAATGTAAAAGGTGTTAAAAGGATATGGGAATGGAGATATTTTCCAAAAAGAAAAAATGAGAAAGCCTAAGCAAGTGATGAAGGTCTGTATAGGTCTGTTATATATAAAGGATGAGACAAAAATAGTATACACATAATCTTAAAATTTCTAAGGTCATAGTTTAATCAACTAGTTTAAGGAGCAAAATATATATCTAGTCAAGGTTTATCAGAGAACATTTGGGTTTTTAACCCAAGCTTTATCTACATAGCACATGGTAATTAAAAGTACCAGACTGGTGGAACTAACCTTATTAGATGTTTAACAGCCATACTTTGAGACCTATACTAATCTGGTCCCTCTGACTTAAAGGAGTTTTTGCCCCTTGCCCTCCAAGGTTGACTAAGTTCCAGGACACTGTGGAACATCTCTTAAAATGTCCTGTAACTGTGGTGGGTCACCTGTCCTCTTGTTCAGGGAGGCCATGGAGACTCCACCAGATGGACTTGAGCCAGTGTCCAGTCTACAAAGAGGAGGGTCAACTCAGAAGAAACATTTCCTCCAT